TACCTTAAGGAGGCATGCTGTTTGTCCTTTAAATATTGCCCAAGGTTGAGATTCCGAAAAGAGTGCTTACCAATTCTAGTGACATAAAAATTAATGCATGCGGAAACTCTGCAACAGATGTATCAGTTCCACAAATAATTATTTGTAGATTTATATTGTGATTTAGGAAAATATGCATAGGGCTATGGGATTACCTAAAAACAAAAGTCAGTAATATTTTGCAATTCTTGTTTTTAAAAAAATATCGCAAATAGTTGGGGAACACGATTATGACTCCTATGCTCCCAATTTTCAGAAGATTAGCATCCAAATGAAAATGTCCGGGTCTTATTAAATATTCCAATCTTAAAACCAAAAACCTTTCTGTGAAAATTATTTTGTGTGCCATCCATTCATTCTTACATGAATATTTATTGGGTGCCGGACCCTTTGCAAGGCAGAGAAAATGAGTTTCTAAGTTCACAGTTGTGGTTTATGGAGACTGAAAATTATCTCGCTGCTGAGAACAGTCAGAATCAAGGGTGGCTAGACAAATACGATGTGCAAAGGGCAGAATTTGGTGAGGTCCCCTGTGATGTGGCCCTTTCCAGCTTTCCAACCTCATCTTGTGCCACTTTCCCCTTTGTTCTCTGTGGTCCAGATACCACTTCTCTTCAGCAAAGCCCTCTTTTATGTTCTGTATGAGTATGATTTTCTTCTACACACGTTTTTTTTTTTTTTTTACACAGTAACTTCTTTCTTCCCAAGATCTTTTTGTTGCACTCTCCTAATGGCCTTCTGTGCCTACTATGGCCACTCTCTGTAATTATGGGACTGCATCTCAACCCTGAGTCCCACCTGTCCAACATAAGCAAGTGTAACCCAAAATCCCAGGCTTCTTTCTGCCAGGGAGGGATACAGATGGACCATGGCATCAAACCAACCAAGACACGTCCCGATATTCCCTAAAGCTCTGAGTTGGCTTTCTTTTTGGCTGTTGCCGAAAGGCAATAGAGGTGTCTGGATTTTTTTTTTTTTTTTATGTTGACAAAACTTTTTTAATTATGAAATAACCAAGCACTTCTATAAAACGTTGATTTTAATTATGTAATTAAAAATGATATAGCAAAATAAGAATGTTTTATTTCTAAAGTAAATATTTTATCAAAGTGCATCAGAAATCAAAATATTTGACATTTTCCAAAGAACTTTAGTTATTTACTACTTATAGTAGTATTATATAGTAACAACATTGTTTAAATATATTATAAACCTTTTCTTTTCTCTTATATTATATTGAATATAAAATTAAAAAAACTTAATAACACAATTCATATTGGACAACATTTAAAATATATACCAAAACCACTCTCACACAGAAAAAAGCCATTGGAATCAACATAAATGTTCTAATGCTTGAAAGTGGGCAGCGACAATGCTTGACATGTATCAGGTATTCACACATGTTTGTCCATTCGTTCTCTCATACTCATTGTGCTCGTTCAAAAAATCCAGGCTTAAAGAGAAAACTGCATTATAAACAGGAATGGCAAGCACAATCTTTCTTCAGCAAATCTGGAAGTCTGACACAAAAGACTTTGGCACTGAGAGTGAAGATGAGAGGATGATGATCAAAATTCCAAAAACTGCTGCTTAAAATCTACCAAGTGAAGCCCCGGGTGCCCTAAGATGACATTATGAGAATCAGGGTCAATATTCTACAAAAACAATGTATTCCTTCAATACCCACATTTTACTTTTACATAACATTGCTCGCAGGCAGGAATACGTTGGTGTTAGGGGAGACATCAAAATATGCAACCTACCAAGAAGTAAGAGGCCTCCTGACTGGAGATTATTTTTTCTGCACTGAGATTTCTTTTGTTAGGCCCCTTTTTAACAACTTTACACTGGTTATATTTAAAAACAAAAAAATCTGACTTGCAACCAAAAAGTGTGATTCTAAACAGATGAGAAATAACTGTAGAAGGTAGAGGGTATTTTGACATTCCTTAATTTTTTTTCTTTATGTACCAACTGATCTATGTATTCTGCACATTTGTGCAAAGGGCACACGGTGGGGAATCAAGCTCTTTTAGGAGGCACCTGGAAAGAGCATTTCTGGGCTCCTTTGCAGAATATCTTACAAATGCAGTGAGTATTTAACCTGAGAAATAAAGTCTACAGAATGCAAAGGGCTGTAAAGGACAGAAGAAAGTAAAGAATACTCTTGGACATATGCAGAATTATGGTAAGGATGATCTTGGAGAATAATTTAAAAATCTATAACAAAAATAAAATGACACTGGCAAGTAATTTGTAGTTGACTTCAACTGCCTTTGGTATTCAGAGAAGAAAAAAAATGGAACCATTGTTATAAGGTCTAGTTTTTTTTTTTTTTTTTTTTTTTTTTGAAGACAGAGTCTCGCTTTTGTTGTCCAGGCTAGAGTGAGTGCCGTGGCGTCAGCCTAGCTCACAGCAACCTCAAACTCCTGGGCTTGAGTGATCCTTCTGCCTCAGCCTCCCCAGTAGCTGGACTACAGGCATGCGCCACCATGCCGGCTAATTTTTGTATATATATCATTGGCAATTAATTTCTTTTCTATTTATAGTAGAGACGGGGGTCTCGCTCTTGGCTCAGGCTGGTTTTTTGAACTCCTGACCTTGAGCAATCCGCCCGCCTCGGCCTCCCAAGGGCTAGGATTACAGGCGTGAGCCACACCCCGGCCATAAGCGTCTAGTTTTATCATCACAAAGGAAAGTGGGGTCATGAAAGAGACTCTTTCAACTGTTCTCTCAAGTTCTTTGTCTATACCAGAATGGACCTGCTTGTATACTTTGCTTTCTCTTTAAGCCCTGGTCATCTGAGTAACACAAAACAGAGCAGTTGGGGATAGGGTTCTGTTCTTCTCACCCTTTTAGAAGTTCCTGGGGAACCCAGGTCCCTTTACTCTGCATTCTTCTAAACAAAGTGAGAGAGAGTTCAGTGACATATGCACTGCTGCTCTGGGACTTTGCTAATTTTTAGGTGGAAGCCTAACTTTTTTTTTGAAAACCAAACATTTCCCCTTTTCTAAAGTTACAGTCATCTGCCACTCACATTTAAAATTTTTAAATGTTCAAGCAGAAAAAGATATTATAATTTCAAAATATGTGCTAAAACTTAATTTTCCTAAAGACTTAATTTGGGGGTGGCTTTCATTTATAGATCAGTGGCTGAATTGTAAGGACTGTTTCATCATTTGAGGCATAGACAAACAATTTTAGAAAATATTTAATTATGTTAACTTATTAAATCTTTCCCCAACTTAAATCTACAAGCTAAGAGAAGGTTAAAAAGAACAGTTATCAAATAAGGAAACAGGTTTTCAGAATTCTAAGGTGGGCTTCTTGTACAAACTTTGTTTCATGAAATTTTCAAATTCAGAATAAATATGAAACTAATTGTACTGTTTCTAACTTTTATTAATGTCAATGGAAGTTGTCTATAGTAAATGAAAATAGAAAAAATTGTCTTGCACTGTCACCTAAATTCAAGGGACGAAAAATTTATAAGCAGTAGATGTTTATCTTACATTATAGTTATTGATAAAATTTAAGTTCTTCCTGCCAAAATATAAAGAACTAGTATTTCTTTAAAAAGAAATATGAATGTAAAACCTACTTATGGTAAGAGAAATTCCCTTAAATATATCCTAATTTTAGTGTAATATGATTAATTATACCACACTTTGATCACTCAAAATTATTTTGAAGCTATTCTCATTAATTTTTTGGATTTCTATAAATATCCTTAGAGAAAATAAAAAACATAAAATATCTGTGAATAGCTCACTTATCTGATGAGATAATAAAGAATCCAGTAGCTCCATTCCAGATAGAATATTTAAGAAAGTTTCATTGTTTTGATTTTGCTTTAAGTTGTGAAAGTAATTTAGCTTATCAAGGCAAATTCAGAGCTGCATAATAGTATAGTTTTGCCAAGTCACATAAATAAATTGAGTGACTCTATTAACTTTATTATGACATTTAAGTGGATGAACTTTACTTGGTAGATTTGTTGGTTCAGAAAAATAATCTACCAACAAAATGAAGGATTTCTTTCACAACAGGTTTCAAGGCAACAAACTGGCATTTTCCCCACTTTCTGTCATGCTACCAACACGAGACTGCACTACATGCACAAAATCCCAAACCCAGGCTCATAAGTAGTGTTTATGATAAATAGCAGTTTCAGCGATTCCATATGGATACAAAGACTTGAAAAATATTCTTTGTGAGATCATGCCCCCAGAGAAAATTCAAATTTAACAAAGAATTTCATGAATAGATTGCGATTTGACAAGCAGTTGGCCAGTCTGGTCCATCCGCCCCAACCCCGGAACTTGAACAATTCAGACAGGCGACAGGAGCTACTCTTCTGTTTGCTCCTTTTCGAAGCTGCTTTCTCGTCACCACCAGGATGCAGTTACTACGCTAGCTCTTGCTTCTGTTTCTTAGTTTATCTTAGTTCTTCCATTTCATCAAAAGAAGCAAAAAAGGGCATACAACAATCGATGAGAATATTTTATTTGAAGCCCCCTGCTCCAATCGTACCGGACGGAAACAAATATCACTAACTGAGTTCCAAAAAGGGCCAGCCTTAACATCCGCCGCAAGCGTGCTCATATTCTTGGCTGAAGTCTAGCCTCCAAACTGCCTAAAACAATACAGTTGAATAGGATTCATTTTTCATGTGACCCAACTCATTAAGAATCAAAGCACATAACGCAGAACATGTTGTTGGTCCCAGGTATAAACAGGAATAATTTCAAATTGATACATCTACAAAGTGAAAAGGTCTTGTCGGGAGAAAGTTTCACCCTGCCCGCTTGACTTAGAGGTCCAGATTTTCAAAGGCTGCCTCTCCAGACTAATCTATAGTGCGTCCAAGTGTAACACAAAACACAGGTGACGAATCGTCCTTCTGCGCAGCTGCTTTCATCGAACAGGCAGGATTACCCTGAAAAGTTTGGTGCTGCTTAATTTGAACACAGGCAGAGGGTGAGGCCTCTGTATTTACAGCACCCAGTGGTACTAAAGGTAAAGACGTCATCACCCAGAGAACAGCAGATTACAACAATATTTTGAATCTGTTTCAGCAAGTAAAGAAGCTTTGGCTGTACATCATAGTGTATGTAGGCAATAGAGAATATTAACATCCCATAGATACCCAGAAAATCACCACTGCTCGGCACTTTTTCAATGGCCACGTGCTGCGGTCAGCCACTGCCTCCATTTTGGAATCGTGAGTGAATCGCCATAGGTACCAATAGGTTTCAATTACTTCAGGACGGAGGATGTAATATTTTTCAGCCTGCCGGACAGCTACAGCCTCCACTGCACCATCAAACTTGAATGATTCAGGACCTAGTTTTAATGCAGTTCTGTCATACGACTCATGACATGTACGTGCAATTTCCGCTCCCAGCTCTAAATAATGACCAGCTTTATCCATTCTGGAACCATCTGCTCCTAGTGCAAACATTCCCCCAGCAAAGCAGGCCAAATGCTCCATCTTCTTTTCCAAGTGCCCATTCCTCCAGTCTCCAATAAAGACAAGACCTCCACGGGACTTCTTAATAAGATGTTTTTCTATAGCCTCAATAGCATCATCATACATCCTTCTTGCCTCATGGTCTGTTTTATCCGACATCAACCATGCTTTCAGTAAGTATTCATAAAAACTGTCTCCCAGACCACCGACTGATGTATGATACTGACCCCAGCGCCCTGTTCTTGGATTCAAATAATTTGGATAAAGACCATTTGGACGATTCATTTTCCTAAGTAGTTTCCGAATATGCATGACCTTTTTGTAGTAAACCAGGTCCCCTGTCAAGTAGCTGAGATGGACAAACTCCATATGCAGTGTACCAAATTCAGCCAGAATGCTGCTACCTGCAGATGCCCAGCCCCAGTTTCGGCCCACTCCACTTTTCAGGTTCACCATTGTCCAGGGAATCCCAGTAGGTGTGTTAAAGGCAGGAAGGAGTTTCTCAGCCAATTGCACAGCTTTACTCTTGAATATCTCCTCTCCTGAAAGGTAGTATGCTGCAAGTAGGCCTCCAATAAATCGAATGTTGACTTCAAACACAGATACCTCTGAATTCACACTGAAATCAAGGTTGTCTTCAATCCATCTTTGCCCATCCAGAAATTCAGCATGAAGTCCCATGATATAAAGGGTATCCAAAGCATCTACTATGGTAGCACCCATTTGTGAACTTCCAAATATGTTAGTGGAGTGTCCTTTCTTTGCAATAGGTCTGAGTTCATTATGTCCCCACCCATATGTCTTATAATTATCCCAGGCATGTTTCATCATCTCTTTAATTTTTTCCCTTTTCTCTCTTATGTCATTATCTTCTGGGTCTCCACCATTTATTCCTACAAGGTTTGGAATAGGGACTGGTGGCGGTGTCTTCTTCTCTTTGGTCTTCATTTCTTGGACTACCTTATTTTTCTCTGTCTGAATTTCTGCTCGAATTTCCTCTCTTGACTTTCTTAATTTTTCTTTTGCTTCTCCCAGGGCCTTCTCATGGTCAGCTCGAATTTTATTTCTCAGACGTCCTTCTTCTTCCCTGTGTCTGTGTTCATCGGGTCCATGGATCAGGAACACTCCGGAGTTTTTAGCCCCTTTAGCATCGACATGAGGAATTAACACATCTTCTAAACCCAGATCAAAGCGTTTGTGTTTCGAAGAGTCTGGAAGGAAAAAGAATGCCCGAAACACAGGTGATGAAGGCACTAAGAATAAGGAGAAGGAAAACTTCTCAGAAAGTCTCAAGGTAGCCCTGTGATGTGGGAAGGAGGGCAGCCCAAGTTCAGAGGTGGTATCCTACGTCCAGAGAGGGCAGCAGGGCTGGGTAGTCATCCTTAACGCTCCGTGGACAGAATACTTTATGAAGTTCTCATCTTACATCGAATGAACAATACATTGAATTGTCTTCAAGACCTTGGCAAAAATGGGGAAACTCAGTTTCTCTTCCTCCAATTACATTCAGAAACGGGTGTGTTCCTCCCAAACGGCAACTAGTCGGTCCTGTGATACCTTCTTTGCCATTTGGCTTTCAGTGCCTCATCGGGTTGTCACAAGTCTCCTCTCCATTCCCAGGGGCAAATTAGGCAAGCCGCACTGCAGAGAAGCTGCAAGGTAGGTTGTTCCATCCCTGCATCTCGGTGAGGCGCTCCATGTGGTCTTCCGCCCCCAAAAGGGAGCCAGGTGAGATCCAAGGAGTTGTGACGGTTAATTTCCTCTGACTCTTCTATTCCAGAGCCCTTTATCCTCAGTAGGGGGGAAAAATAAGGGTCTCCACGGAAGTCTGCAAACAGGGAGGGAGGTCTCCCACCTCGCCGGGAAGCTGAAGCGGCAGTGCCGGGGGAAGTAGCAGGAAGGAGTTCTCGGCTGCCCGCGCTTCCCTGCGCTGCGCGGCGGGCGGCCCCGGGCGCGCGGGGGCAGCCGGGCCTCCGTCTCCTTCCCTGGGGGGCCTCCTCCGCGCTGCCTCCGGGGGCTCGCGGCCACTCGCCCTGGCGCGGCTGCCGGAGGGGTGGCGCGCCCACGCGGCGCGGGGCTGCGGCCCGGCCTTCGTCCCCTGCCCGCCTAGGCCTGGAGAGCGCGGGACAGCCGCCCGTCCGACGCCCGCTGGGCGCACGCCTGAGCCGGACCGGAGCGAGAAGGGGGATGGCCACGGCGCGCGGGCCGGCCTACCCGGTGTCTGGGCTTTGACAGACGTAGAAGTTGCAGTACCGTGTTCCCTTGAAAATAAGACCTGCCCATAAAGTGAGCCCCGGCAGGATGTCTGAGCATGTGCGCCATAGAAGCCCCACCCTGAAAGTCAGCCCTAGTGACGGGCGTGGCTATGAAAATGAGCCCTGGTGACGGGCGTGGCTATGAAAATCAGCCCTAGTGACGGGCGTGGCCATGAAAATCAGCCCTGGTGACGGGCGTGGTTATGAAAATCAGCCCTAGTGACGGGCGTGGCTATGAAAATCAGCCCTGGTGACCGGCGTGACTATGAAAATCAGCCCTGGTGACGGGCGTGGCTATGAAAGTCAGCCCTGGTGATGGGCGTGGCCATGAAAATCAGCCCTGGTGATGGGCGTGGCTATGAAAATCAGCCCTGGTGACGGGCGTGGCCGTGAAAATCAGCCCTAGTGACGGGCGTGGCCGTGAGAATCAGCCCTAGTGACGGGCGTGGCCGTGAGAATCAGCCCTGGTGACGGGCGTGGCCGTGAGAATCAGCCCTAGTGGTGGGCGTGGCCATGAGAATCAGCCCTGGTGACGGTCGTGGCTATGAGAATCAGCCCTGGTGACGGGCGTGGCTATGAGAATCAGCCCTGGTGACGGGCGTGGCTATGAGAATCAGCCCTGGTGACGGGCGTGGCTATGAAAATCAGCCCTGGTGACGGACGTGGCTATGAAAATCAGCCCTGGTGACGGGCGTGGCTATGAAAATCAGCCCTGGTGACGGGCGTGGCTATGAAAATCAGCCCTGGTGATGGGCGTGGCTATGAAAATCAGCCCTAGTGACGGGCGTGGCTGCACAGCGCATCTGCACAACCCATGCGTGTGGTCGCGGAGCGGGAAAGAACATGAGCAGCCCTTCTCATCTGCCCCGTGAGAGCTCTAGTGCTCCACAGGAGAGATCTGGCCAGTGGTTCTAAAGGAAATAGAGTCGCAAGACATTCAGGATGGGATTCGGGGTCTGGAGAGTGAGGATGATGTTCCAGAAGAAGACGACTTCACTCTATTGGAATCAATGGAGATGGTTGTACCGTACTTAAAAAATAAACAACACCTCCCCTGAAAATAAGCCCTAGAGTGCCTTCTTGAGGAAAAATAAATATAAGACCCTGTCTTATTTTGGGGGAAAGATGGTATTTTGTCGGTATTTAGAAAGTCAAGTTCTTCATACCACAGACAGCAGAGATGAGTTACTTCGGGTTGTGGTGGGTCAATGGAAACAGCAGCTATTTCATCAAACCAGTTTTATCTTGTGGTTCTGAGTTCCATCCCGGGACTGCTCCTCAGAGCCTGGTTCTCCATTCCTCCCAGCAGCTTTGCAAGTGATGTGATAGATTTCCAATGTTTTCTAGTAACGAGCTAGAGCTGGCCTCTGCTGTTTGCAGCTAAGAATTCTGTTAAATATCCCCAAGTGCAGCCCTATCTAAAAGAGTCTACTTTAACTATTTTCTATCTTGGGGTGCTTTTTGTTTCTTCTTAGCACATATCATGATGTCTAATTATTTATTTTATTTCATTTTATTTATTTTTGAGACAGAGTCTCACTCTGTTGCCCCGGCTAGAGTGAGTGCCGGTGGCGTCAGCCTAGCTCACAGGCAACCTTAAAACTCCTGGGCTCAAGCGATCCTCCTGCCTCAGCCTCCCTGAGTAGCTGGGACTGCAGGCATGCCGCCACCATGCCGGCTAATTTTTCTCTCTATATTTTAGTTTGCCTCAATTTTTTAGTAGAGATGGGGTCTCATTCTTGCTCAGGCAGGTTTCGAACTCCTGATCTTGAGAGAGCCACCTGCCTTGGCCTCCCAGAGTGCTAGGATTATCCATTATGTTTTCTTTTAGCTTAGCTTTTTTTTTTTTTGGTGAGAATCGACTCCCTATCCAAGAGGCCATGGAAATGGCTTCTGGAAATTTGAACACCAGGCCTAAACCTCTGGGGACTTTTTGTTTAGTTCGGGAGAGAGAGCACCTGAGCTTTCAAGCTGGGACAAAATTAGAGTCCTATTTTTTTTTTTTTTTTTTTTGTAGCTTTGGAATCGAGCGTGAGGGAGGGGAGAGAACCAGTCTATCCACTTACATTGCCATCAGTGACGTTTAAAGGCACCGATCCTCACAGGTATAGTACCGCGTATGAAATGAAATTATAGGCAGAGGCATTTGTCCCTGCAAGTTAAATCAATAGGCAGCTTAGTGGGAACATTGTGACTCTTAAGTGGAAAGCAAGTTGAGTGTGAGAAATAATAATCATTAGCATTCCCATTAAGTGAATGGTCTTTGCTCCTTTAGTCCCTGGAGACTTAAGGCTTTCAGAGCTTAAATGGTGTTTCACGTGCTCTTCCTTGGATCCTTATTCCTTGGGGCTCTCAGTACGTCGTTAAATTTGCTCTCGTTTTAAGTGCTTCCTTTTCAGCTTCATCTGTATTTCTGTGATGCCATTTTGTTAACCTGGGGTAAGGCTGACTCCATGCTTTGTCCTTCCTTGCTGGGTACCTACGACTACTGACATCTGTTACACTTTCTTTAGTGGGATTTGGAGGGAAGGCATCAAGGTGAAGCGGAGGGCACACAAAAAAGGGGGCAAAAAGGGTGCCATTCTCCCAATTCACAGGTTCCTCCTATTGTCTACAAAGATCTTATCGTACATGTGTACTTGTTTTTTTTTTTTGGGACATAGTCCACTCTGTCGCCCAGGCTAGAGGTGAGTCTCCGTGGCGTCAGCCTTTGCTCACAGCAAACCTCCACAGCTGCTGGGCTCAAGCAATTCCTCCTGCCTCAGCCTCTTTCCCAAGTAGGCTGGGGACTACAGGCATGCGCCACCATGCCCGCGGCTGATTTTCTTCGTATATTATTTTTAGTCTGGCCAATTATTTCTTTCTAGGTTTTTTAGTATTTGAGGGGGTTTCTCGTTTCTTGCTCAGGCTGGTTTCGAACGTCCTGAGCTGAAGCGATGCCTCGCCTCGGCCAGCTCAGAGCTGCTAGGCATTACAGGTGTGAGCCACCGCGCCCGGCCTTACACTGTACTTGTTAAATACAATTCTGTGGACAGGGAGATATTCCTGTCCTGGCAATGTCTATAAAATCAAAAAAGTTCGTGGAAGGTGACTTGTGATGATATTAAGTTAAAACATAAAGTACAAGGCAAAAAAAAATCAAGCTTACTGGTTACTTGCACTTACATACTATTCTTTCAGTTTTCACTTTTAAAGAGTTCTGATGTGCACTCTCATAATTGACAGCTAAATCCATAGGACAGTGGGGACTGTTTAGAGGATGTTCGTGTTTTCTTGCGCCAATTTCTCTCTTGTTCTGGAATATGGTAAAGATCTGTACTGGAATCAGAAACACGTAATCTTATTTCTGTCTAAAGTTCCTCATTACATTTTCAAACCTGCATTATTGAATCTGAGGTTAAAATATTCAAATCTGGTTTCAGAACAATACAGCTCAGCATCGCTTGACATGTTTCCCAAAGAATTCTCTAAGTGCTTGCAAAAGATTTCTTTGAACTTGGACTGGGCAACAAATATGCAATAAGTGACAGTTCACTAATTACTAGCCTATCGCTTTCAAAAATATATTCCAGCTATTAGGGCAATGCGAGCCTGCATTAGGATGTGCATTAGAGTAAAACAGATGCTTTTGTTT